TTTCCCTCACCAAAAACATTCTGACTCTCCTTCACCAGCCACAAAAAGAGCAGAAATCCAACTGCTAGAGGTTGTAATTAAATTTAAACTCTTGCAGGGAAGAAGAAAAAAGTCTTCAGGAGAATCCTCTCTACGCCCTGTGTGTCTTGCTGTTGCCACCGATGCTGGAAAGGGGCAGAAAAGCCCTCAATTATCTCAAAAAACCATTGAAGAGTCTCAATTAACAAACCCAGGCGGGAGTAAAAGAGTTACAACTCACAATCAGGAGTACTTGTAGCAGTTCCTACACGTAGTAACATCAGTTTAGGGCAAATGTCAAAACGTAGCCTTGACTCTGCAGACAGGGCTTACCAAACTATACACAAAATCATATTCAAATTTAAAATTAAGAAAACTTTTAAATCTATTAGCAAATTTAAGTATTCCACTAGAACAGACCGTCACGGTGAAATTCTCCCAAGGAGTTTCTCCTGCCAGCTAGCGAGAAACAGTTTTTATTTTATTCCTTCGAGGCGCTTTGTGCATCAGCAACAGCTGCAGAGATGATTTCTGCGGTGTTTTTCCATTGAATTTACCAGGTAATTTGGAAAAGAATCCCTATCAGTAAATAATCCACAACAACAGAGGTTAAATGGACCCAAATGCTGCAAAAATTCAAGAACGCCTTTTTTTTCCAGGGTTACAGAGGATCGGCCCAATCGCTGCTTTGTGAACGGAAAGCACAAAACCTACGGCTTGGAAATGTTTTTTTTCCGTGCCCAAAGGTTTCGCCCAACACTTAAAAGTCAGCTAATGAAGGTTTTTTTAAGCATCGGGGGTATCTTTCGAAAATCAATTCTTTCTGTTGGCGATCCTGAACAGCCACGGAGAGGGCTGAGCAAGGCATCCAAATCCGAAGCTTCTGGCCTGAGAAAATTCCCACCTGGGAGTTCAAACCCTCTTTAGACAAAAAGATCTGTTTTGGGAAGGAATAAAGAGAATAGGGGAAGCATGGATCCCCATCAACCGGATGTCACAAACTTCTCAAGAAAGAGAAGTCTGGAAGTCAGGAAGTCAGGAAGCCAAGAAGTCAGTCAAGAAGTCAAGAAGACACGAAGTCACGAAGTTACGAAGTCACGAAGTCATGAAGTCAAGAAGTCAAGAAGAAGTCAAGAAGTCAAGAAGTCAAGAAGTGGAAGTCAAGAAGTCAAGAAGAAGTCAAAAAGTCAAAGTCAAGCACAAGTCAAGAAACGTCGCCGCAGCTGGACACGTCTCTATTGTGGGTATTTATAGATATTCAGGCTGATTCTGCAAACGTCTTGCAAGGAAAACACCAGGGAAAGCTAACGGAGCAAAGAGAATTTCTAATGAGAGCCCGCTAAGTGCTTTTATTTCCATGTAGTTCAGGAGACGAACATCAAACCCATATTTACAGCTGTTTGGAAGATGTCACCTCATCAGATACATTACGCCCGCTTGGTGGTTTCTCTACATGCACTAGAACAAAGCAGGCAGGGCTTTTTTTTTTTTTAAGCAAAGATTAAATTAAAACACGCTCAGAAATAGGTCTTGTCTCCTGCAGAGACGTGAACCTTTACAACTCCCACGGTGCATCGCAAGCTCGGGGCGCTCCGTGTCGGGAGAAAAAAAATCCGATGCGTATTGCGTCCATTTGTTATCGACGTTACGTGATCCTTTGTCCTGAAAACCAAACCTGCCAACTAAGCTTGCTCTGTTGGCTTTTTTTTTGGTTGTTTTGAATATAAAGAGGAAAAAACTCTTCCTTCTCTGTAGTACCATGAGGAGTTTTTCTCAGTCATCCTGTTCTTCGCCAGCGACAACGGGAAACGTTCAGCTCTTCTGCCCCATTTATTGTCAATATTCGTATTAAAAACAAATTTCAAAAATGCAAAGGGAAGACACCAATCCAAAACTGCAGGAAAAAGTTTTTTTTTTTTTTTTTTTTTTGTTCCCTTTCATTTCTTTGTTATAATCCACGAGTGTCATCTGCAAAGATTAAGAAAGTGAAGAACCTTAGCAGTAAAACAAAATGCTTTTTTGCCTCATCTAGACAGAAGGGTCAAATTTAATCTAATCTGCAGTTAAGACAAAGGTGAATTTGATGGAACCCTTTGTATTGTGTTGGTTAAAACACAAATTCAGATCTAAAAGCTGTCACTTAGAATCACCTGATTATTTTATTATTTTTTTTCCCAATTTTTATTCCTCTTCGGAGCTTAAGATCTGGGGACGCACGCAGCTTCAGACTTTTCGGCAGGAGCGGGGGCAACTTTGAAAAAGTCTTCGCTGGGCTTCGCTGCATGTTCTGCGTTGCCAGGCCAGAAGGATCAGAAGTTCAAGTTAAAAAGGAGACACGGAAACGGTATGTTGAGAGGCGTGCTCTGCCCATATCCATGTTTCTGTAAGACTCTGGAACTAGGTACGGCTTTCCCAGCATATCTAGCTTTTAAATGGGTTGAATATCTGCCAAATAATTATTTTTCCTACGTGTTTTCTCATGGAAAAACTTTGGGGTGTGGAGAAGGAGGAGAAGGAGGAGAAGGAGGAGAAGGAGGGGAAGGAGGGGAAGGAGGGGAAGGAGGGGAAGGAGGGGAAGGAGGGGAAGGAGGGGAGGGAGGAGAAGGAGGAGAAGGAGGAGAAGGAGGAGAAGGAGGAGAAGGAGGAGAAGGAGAAGGAGGAGAAGGAGGAAGGAGAAAGAAGAAAGGAGAAAGAAGGAGAAGAGAGAAGAGAAAAACGAGGCTCACTAGAAGCAGATCTTCTCATTCGAATTATTGAGAGTCATCCAAGCACTGATTCCTCTGTCACAGGAAAGGTTGACTTGAGAGCAGGGGAACGCTCGCTCCTGAAACTGATGAGCCTGCCATCCAACACCTTTCATACGCCGCCGCCAGAAAACACAACAAATGCTTCACTGACAAAGCCGGAGGCTCTGGATATTCTTCCGTTCTTCGGCACCTGGGGCGAGTCGTCTCCGAGGCGACAGGGCCGCTCAGTCACGCGAGAATCACTCTGTTGCACTCACCCTGGAGCACAAGCGGTAGCTCTGCAGAGCTGAATTCGAGACGATCATCACCCAGAAGGAAGTTCTCCTGTTATGAAAGACCGAGGACTTGCCCTCACGGCTTGGCAGCGATTTATTCAGCTGAAGGGGGCTGCTCACACAAGCACTGCACAGTTTGATTCCTAACCTTACCGAAAATGATATTTTTGATGAGGAAAAGAAAGCTGCCTCACCGTTTTGCCGAATTTTCTCATGGTTTCTAATAAATTGGCGAATAACGTAGGGATAATTTTGTTATCGCTTCCTCCGGGCCCTCGGTCATATCCCTCCGGGGTTCATTTTCCGTGGGTATTTAAACGATGGAATTTAATGAGCGTGATTACTCGTGGCAATCGATTCGCAAAGTCGTCCCCGTCGAACGTTCAGAGAAGTCAAATCGCAAACGTCTTCCTCAGGATTCGCGGATCAAAGCTCCTGCGTCCTCCCGCAGGGAGAGAACACGCACGGCTCATCCGGACAACGAAGTTCCGCTGCTCACACCTTGAATATTTGCAATCAAACCAAGGGGAAAAAGAAGAAAATATCCTTCCCGTTTGAATAACTAAGGAAATCCCAGCCTGTCGGAGGAGGTTCTTGACATTTTCTAGATATCCAAGTGCTACTTGTGTAATTCAAGTATACAATGAAACATCCAAAGACCTGTTGGACTTTTTCGGTACTTCCGCTTGCTGGCACAACCAAGAATACAGAAGAACAATTTAGGGAGAGCCAGAACTCCACCAAATCAAGCCGGGGAAGCATCTCCCCCTCAGCTTTTTGCCAAATCACACAGAACTTGAAAGCTCTGTCCGTACAACTGCCTTTTCTAGCATTTCTGTTGCAAAAGGCTCAACCGCAAACTTATTAAAGAGGTGAAACAACTTAAACCAGGCTTGGGAGAATTTAAATCCCTTTTGGAATAAAATTCAAAAAAACAAACAAGTAACTTTGCATTTAATCCTGACCATTAGTTTTGAAGACACAAATCTCCATTAGTAATAGGAACGTCTTTATATTCCACAACATTTTTGCTTAAAACATCATCGAATCAGCCTTTTCCCATCAAACCCGCTGAGTATTTGGGGGCGTCCACGCGTAGCTCCTCGTAAATACCATCAAGAAACACACACTCGGACACAGAGAGGCTCTCTGACGAAGCAAGAGCAAAACCAATTTATTCCGCTCGCCGAGGCTCCCCAAGGAAACGCCAAAAAAGGTCGGACGATGCCGTTTTCACGGCGCTGTAAAGTAACAATTGCAAAGAAAAGCGTACCCAGAGACCTGAGAGTTTCCGTCCTACGGAATGGAGAGACCCCTAACACATCAAGTTAACGAATCTCTCTGTAATATCTCGTTGTTGCCAAGTTACCAAGCAGAAAACTTACCATTTTGACCCAGAATAAAGACAAAATGTCAAAGAAATCGTGGCCTTTCTGGCAACTTTGAACCGTTTTCCCCACGCTAGGAGCACGGGCCGGTCATTGCTGGAAGGATGAGAATTTTGACGAACCATCGCCGAGGCAGGGCCATGAATAATGAATCACTGCGTCTCTCTCTTTGCCAGACACAAGAGGAGGTTTTTTTTATTTGAATTTCATGGTAATCGCAAGAACATCTTTAGGTGCCCAACTGGGAGGGTAGAATTAGGAGTTAGTAAGATCTACGGACTAAAATGAGCATTTGATCCAAGGAATTCGATGTATTGGAGAGCGTCCGGAGGTTTGAAGGCAAGACCAAATGCAAAATGAAACGTAGAAACAGCTGAAGAAAGCAACGTAAAAAGGAAGCACCAGGGATAATCTAAACAGAAAGCTGCAAAATCGACGTAACCTCGGAGGAATCTCTTTTTCCTGAAGTGGAATGAACGCAAATAATTACTTACCCAGACTTTCGATGGAATAATAGCGCTGCTTGCTGTCCACCCGCACGGTCTCGGCGTAGGGGCTGCCCACGCCGTAGCCGATGATGTACCCGCGGACGACGATGTTGGGGTTCAGCGGCGGCGTCCAGCTCATGACGATGCTCGTCGTCAAGGGCCTGACGTGAAGCGAGCTCGGCTGGTCAGGAACCTGAGATTCTGGGGATTGAAAACGAACGAACAAACACACAAAAAAAGAACAAAAAAAGACAAAACCACAAATTAATGTTCTACTCAAGGTTCGAGTTTAGGTTAAAACGTTTGCACGACAAACCCAAGCGGGTGCAGAGCCTACGTGGAGTTTTTAGAGCCTGTTTTGAACGAAGTATCTCCTAATTCTTTCCACCCTTAGCGCGGGGCTACAAGAGAGAATTGAAAGGATGCGAGACGACGCGCAAGAGAATTCCCAAGAGGACAACTTGTCTCTTCCCTGGTCTATCTGCGGGATCCTGACAGCTCCTTGCAGGCGTTGTCGTGGCGCTCACCGATTATTAACAATAAGGTTGACTCTGTTCGCAATGTATTGGCATATTTGGGCAATAATCTCTTTCCCAAAAAACCATGAAGTGAATTTTAACTCTTCGACACTGCTCTGAAGCTGCTTTAACCACTACGCCAGCGTTTCAAAAATTAAATAACCGGACGGGCTATTTTTTTTCGCAGCAATTAATCATTCGGAGTCTCTCTGCCTTTCTCCAAGGAGATTTTACGGCGGAGGTTAGATGAGGAAAAGCCTTTTGTTGGGAGTTCACGGGGTAACTACCATACCACAAGCCTCCTCAGAGGAGCCGCACGGCAGCTTGTCTTTTTGAGAGCGGAAAGAGACAAGTTACCATTTTTACCCCAAAGAAAAGGCTTGCGATATAATAGACGGAAGCTCACATGGAAGGCAACGAGGCCAGGGATAAAAAACCCCAGGCATCATTCTAAAAAGACGCAAACCTCCAACAAAAGACACTCGGGTTGTGAAGCATTCCCACGGCAAACCTTGGAAAAGGTGAGCAAAAAGCAGAATTAACCCTTCTCAATAATTGTGTCCTCGGTGCTTTTAGGTGAATTCTTGGAAAACACGTTACTCCGAGGACTTGCGGGGTGAGTTTGATCACTACGTTACCGGTCTGGAACACCCAATGTTTCCTTTGCTTTCAACTCCCAAACCTCACAAAGCCCCTTCTTTAACGCTCTAAGAAAACACCTGAGAAGTAGCTACTCAGAAAAAAAGAAAAAGAAAAAAAAAAAGAAACAGATTGCACCGGTTGGGCTACTGGAAATCAGGTTAAGTTGCCCTTTTACCCCCAAGTCCACTCCCAAATTTAGGTTTTAACGCAGAAGTTACTCGAGCGGCGCTGTTTGAGAGACCAACGGAAACATTTCTTACGAGCCTCAAAGATTTAAAAAACCCCAAATCACAATTTAATGCCTCGAAAGGAGAAGGTGGGAGACGTGGTGATTCCTCGAAGCCCCTGAAAGTAGCTGAGGGCGTTCAAGAGAAGCGACGGCCTCCGAGCGAGAATTCTGACACGTCACAGAGATTTCAACCGCGGCACAGCTACCTCCAGGCAGCCAGCTGGGTTAAACCCCTTTCATGTTCTTTATTTCGAAGAAGCCAAATAAGGCAGCTCGTGCATCTCCGAGCTCAGTCGTGAGTTCTCGTTTCAAAAAGCAGCCGGCGGTTAAGTCTCGAAGATAAAGCCGGGGTGAAGAACATTTTTGAACGATTTTGTTAATATTAAAGTATCCGAACGACGGAGATGAGTTGGTTTAAAATATTCTTTCTGTAGAGGGCAATTTTAATCCCCTTTCCATCTGCTTTGCTTTCAAACCTTTCAAACTCAGCCATCCAGGAGTAAACCTCTTCTTCCAACACCTCTCGCATTCCTGTTTCTTTTTTATCCAAGATCCACGTCCACGTTTTTACCTCCTGGCTTTGACCACACCGTCACAACTACTTTTGAGATCTTGCGTCTCCTACACCAAGCGTCCGATGAGTTCGGCACCCTAAGTCCCAAACGAGCCCAATTCACAGCCTTCTCGGATTTCTCTTAATTTAAACGTTCCGCAAGTCCACCGTCAAGCTTTAAAAAAGGGCTTTAGCGGTTTTCGTAAGTCATTTGAGGACGGGGAACCTTGAAGAAGCAGCTCTGTTGTTTGGATTTCAAATCGTTTTTAAAGAAGCCACTAATTAAATGGAATATCCGTCAGGAGCTGAGGCCGTTCTCCTGTTTGCCTGCTGGAAAAAAGGTATTTGGACGCAGGGGAAGGCAGAAATTCTTCAGTTTGCAAGGGCTGGTTTGGAGATCCTAAGGAAATCCTGCCAGGCAAAGGCACCATCGAGCACCACGGTGCATTTAAACTGATTATTTATTTCCTCTTTCATCCAGTTCGCCTTTGATCCTCTGTAGGTGCCTCATTTTGTTTTAAAAATCGCAGCAATCTTCCTCTTGTTTTTCTATTCATCTCCTTTCTTCTACGTATTTGCTTCTTACGGCTTGTCTGTAGTTTCGCTGTGACTTCCATCTGTCAGATTCTTTGTTCCGTATGATTTGCGCTTCGTTTAATTTATTTTTTTTTTTTCAGGCAGACTTTTTCATTGCTCTCCTTTTATTCCTTTGCTACTTCAAATATTCCAGTCATTTTATCTCACCCTTTCATTTCAGCCTCTTCCCTTTTGTGTCTGCAGCGATTTACACAGCCCACAGTTTTTCAGGTATCTGCATCCCAAAATCTTTCACTAATTATTCAGCTTCGTTTGCCAACCTGCATTTCCAACACCAGGAATTGACCTCGTTGAGCGTTTCCTTCGCGAACCGTCAGGATTGTCGGAATTATTTCCACTGTTCCGTCGATCGATTACTTTTACCGGCTCACAAAGTCACGGGAGTCACTTCGTTGTATCAATCCAAACGTTCGGGAGCTAAATTCCGGCACGGATTTCTCTTCCCCTTGCTCTTGGAGAAGCCCAACCCAAGGCACGCGGCACCCAGGATGGGCCGTAGTGGGTTTTTTGGACAGCTGGCATCGCCTCAACCTCTCCTGGAAAGCTTTGGGAGGCAACAGCTTTTAAAAAGAGATGCATTTACCATCGAGATCGTTCTCAGGGGTTTCCGCCGTGTACCAATCCGAGGGGGGTCCCGTCCCGTTCACCGTCATGGCAGCCACCTGGAAACTGTACTGGCTTCCTTTCTCAAGTCCTATTTAAACGACAAAGAAAAAAAAAAAGCAAATCAAAAGTCACACCAGAAGACGAAGAAAACAAACCAACGACGACACCGGAGTTTGCAACAGATTCGGAAAACCACGACCTTGGCGCTCCTCGAGGTGGGGATGAGGGGGTCGATCTTTTTGCTCAGCCTGTGCTGACCACAACAAAACAAAAGAAAAGGGTTCATTTAATTGCCAACGGTCTCCGGAGAAGAACGCTCGTCGT